ACAATTGGCTAGCATGCATTAGCACACTCATCATCCAGAGTTGTTATGAAGTCTAAACTGGGCCAGTGTGGTCCTTATTATAACTTGCGGCTGATGTTTATCAAGTTTATAGGTCTTCAGCAAGCGGACAAGATAGACGTTGATAATAAGCATGCAGAAATTAATGAGAGCCAATACTGGATGGATGGGTGGATGGATGGATAGACAGAGTGAAACTAATAATATAATAATGTCAATTCTTTCTTATTTTTCTATCTAAGCTATGTATGCAAGTGTACTTAAATCTATTATATGGTCACTGGATCTTAAAGAATCTTAAAGGAACTATATAACAACTCAGGTGTTCAAAAACTGTCCATTAGACCTGGCTTTAGGAAAGGATTGTGTAGACTATATGTCTTCCATAAAAGAATTCCTACAGGTGGTTAAGGCTCAGTCAGTGGCTAAATCAGAATTGCTAGCTTTTCTGCAGAAACAGATTCTTGAACTTTTATATAATAATACCTATAATATTTCAGCCCTAAAATATAAAACCATCTCTACCCTAACAAGGGAAAAGGAAGAAAGTATTGTTTTAATTGATGTGCAGTTTATGATTTATAAGGAGATAGCTCTGATCAAAAATTTCCTTTCAGAAAGTAATGAACTGTTAATAACAGTAGTTGAGTCTTGCAAAACTCAGGAGAGGAAATCTGGGACAGAAAGACTAGACAAAATCCCTTTCCAGTCTCTAAGGATAATTAAGAAAATGTCAGCACCTCAAATGTTAGAAGTTAATAAAGAGACCTTAAGGTTGAAAAAAAGAAAAAATAAGAAAGAAAAGCAAAAACTGCTGTGCTGTTGGAAACAAGGTTTCAAAAGACTTCTTAGACTGTTATATAGGTTTAGATCCAAATAATCATATACACCTGCCCAGACCTTAAGATCATCCTCAGTTTTCCTAGTGAGAGACAACTGCCAAGGATGTCAGGCAGGTAGCTCCTGAGAGCCTTTTCTCTTGTGGCCCCAGGCTATGTGGAATGAACTTGCCAAGAATATCAAGAGCAACAAAAAGGGTTTCTTTCAGCATGTAAATAGGAAGAGGAAGGGGAGACAAATGGTGGGACCACTAAATAAGGAGGAAGGACATTCAGTGACTGATATGAGGGAACAGGCACAGATGCTAAATGACTATTTTGCCTCTGTATTCTCCCCAAAGCAGGACAGGGGATATCCGCATAGATTAGATGAGGCTGGGGACTTAGGCGCACAGATTAGAGTCACCCTCCTTGAAGTCGAGGGGCTCCTCAGGGCATTGGACATTACAAAGGTGCCAGGCCCTGACGGGTTACACCCGAGAGTACTTAGAGAGTTGGCAGGGGTTCTCTCACGCCCGCTGGCCTCCATCTTTGAGGCCTTGTGGAGAACGGGTGAAGTTCCAGAGGACTGGAGGGTGGCATCAGTGGTCCTAATTTTCGAAAAGGGTAGTAGAAGGGACATGGGGAATTATAGACCTGTTAACCTTACGTCCATTGTAGGAAAAACAATGGAAAGGCTCATAATAGAGAGAGATCTAGTGATGCTAGATAGGGAAGGGAGGCTGATAGCCACACAACACGGCTTCCGCAAAAACAGGTCCTGCCAGACAAACCTTGTGGAATTCTATGGCAAGGTTTTGAGATGGCTAGATGGAGGGGATGCAGTGGATGTGGTATACCTGGATTTCAGCAAGGCCTTTGACAAAGTGCCCCATGATATCCTGGTGGGGAAACTGAAGAGTTTGGGGATACACCAAAGCACTGTCTGGTGGATTAGGGCATGGTTGACTGACTGAAAGCAGAAGGTAACCATAGTGAGGAATCATCGGGATGGTGACCAGTGACAAGCGGGGTCCCCCAGGGCTCTGTCCTGGGGCCAATCCTGTTTAATCCTTTCATTAATGACATGGAAGAAGGGGTGAATAGTCTCCTGATCAAACTCGCAGACGACACTAAAACTGGAGCAGTGGCCACAACTGAGGAGCAGGTACTCCAGATCCAAAAGGACCTGGACAGACTATGGAAGTGGGCAGGAGACAACAGGATGGCATTCAATGTGGATAAGTGCAAGGTCTTGCACTTGGGGCATAGGAATAGCTGTCATAAGTACAGGCTAGGTGACAAGTGGCTGGAGAGCAGCAGTTGTGAAAGGGACCTCGGGGTATTGGTTGACTGCAGGCTAAACATGAGTCAGCAGTGTGATGCGGTGGTCAAGAGGGCGAACACCACCCTTGGTTGCATAGCCATAACTGTGGCTTCTAGATCAAGAGAAGTATTACTACCACTCTATACGACTCTGGTGCGCCCGCAACTGGAGTATTGTGCTCAGTTTTGGGCCTCTCATTACAGAAAGGATATAGCCAGGTTAGAGTCAGTGCAGCGTAGGGCCACAAGGTTGGTGGCTGGTCTGCAGGGGATGGGGTATGAGGCAAGACTGAGGAAACTGGTCTCTTCAGCCTGGAGAAGAGGAGACTCAGAGGGGATCTGTTAGCTACATACAGGTATGTGAGGGGATGTCACATGGAGATGGGTAGAGACCTATTTTCCCCTGCAGAGGAAGGCAGGACGTGCTCCAACGGAGCAAAGCTCAGGGAGCCAAGGTTCCATTTGGATGCCAGGAAGCATTTCCTGACAGTTAGGGCCCCGAGGGGGTGGAATGGGCGTCCATAAGAGGTCGTTGAGGCCCCATCGGAGCGGGTGTTCAAGGATAGGCTGGACGTCTACATGGTGGGCATGTCATAAGCGGAGCCGGCTGGTGCCAGAGATCAGACTATATGGCCTGGGAGGCCCCTTCTGACTCGCTCTGTTTCTATGTTTCTAACTTCCCTGGAAGACTTACTGGGTATTTACATTGTACTTTTTCTGGTGCCAGGAGACAACCTTATTTGTCTAGGAATTTTAGTTTCAGTCTATTTTAAATTCAGTGCTGTATTTCAAATAGGTCTTACTCTAGTTCCCAGTTTATTTCATACTAGAGTCTTAAATATTTAAAATTTTATACTGTGTTTTATAGTGTATTTCAATGGCTTTAAATTGTTGTGAACTGCCCAGACAGCTTAATCAATCAATTCTGGGTCCTCTCTTTCTAATAGTGATCCTCTAAGATCTGGTTAATCAGAATTTTTTTTTTTCTGATACTAAAATTACTTCCAGAAAGAACAAGTTCCTTAGAAATTTTTTCAGTCTAACCATTCTTGGTTCAGTGATTGCCATAATGCTTATATATGTAAATCATTATGGAAAAATCCTCAAAGAAGCATTGTTGTTCCTATCCACATTGTCTCTTTGAAGATGGTTCCAAAACTGCAGCTTATTCAAAATGTGGCAGCATTATTGATTAACAGGGATAAGAACATCCAAATGTATACACTTGATTCTGTTCTAATTCTACTGTCTAGACCAATTCAAGGTGCTGGTTTTAACCTACAATTCAGCATATGATGGAGCATTTAACCCTACATGAACCTGCCCATATTATAAGGCCCTCCTTCAGATGCTTTCTCCAAAGGAGACTCATGCATGAACCAGGGTAAGTTCAGAATCCTAGCTTATAATTTACATGCAATGATCATAACAAGTCTTTGCCCTGTGGTTTTCTTTTAGAATGTTGTGCAAACCTGAACTTCTGGCTTGTCTATCCCCTGAAAAGACAGAGAAATAACCCATGGAGCCCTGGTTTCATTAGGCAGTTTCACACATTGCTTGTACATGATTAACCGGTGTTTTGGTGGAACTCTGGATTAGTGTGATGTGCAAACTAGGTTTATATAGCCGTTTTAAAACAAAAGACAGAACTGTAAAAGGTTTTGGCTATTTTTTACTTTTAAAAAACTAGTAATTTAATATATAACTAGATGCGCTTCCTGACCAAATGGCATTGCTTTCTTTGTAATGCTGATTATATGTATCAAATTACATTAATTTCCAATGGAATCCAAATCATACAGGGACCTAGCACCCATTTATGAGTTTGCCTTTTCTTTGTCCAACCAATTATTTCCTTCTCTTAAGTCAGAGCAGAAATGGATTTTGAGATCATAAGCCTATAAAAAAAACTCTAGAAGGGTGCATTAAAAAAAAAGAAAAATATGTTATAAATACAGAGAACTAACTAAAAAATATAAAGTATGTTATAAATATAGAGAACTAAATTAAATACCTTCTCAGGATTCAAATCAAAGTGGATGTCTGATGACAATGTAAAAAAAGATTTAAGAAGGCATAATCATAATGCTGTAACATGAAACGATAATGTAGTGATAGTATTTTTCTTGTATTTTGGAAATATTAGACTAATTGATAATCAGAAGAAGATCTTATTTTTTAAAATACAGCAAGAGGGTTCCCCTCGATACTTCCATGTAAACATGGAAAAGCCTTTATATACAACAAGGGTGCAGAGTAAGGATCATAAAATTACCCTGCGCTCTGGCTGCTTCTACGTATTGTGTAGATACTGGTTTAATCTAATGTGTATTGTTGCATAATATCCCCAGGCATAGTCAAATAAAAGCTAAGGCTTACAGAAAAGCATACATTTTAAATGTGTCTTGTCATTAATGCTTTATTAATTGCCCCAGGCAATGCAAAGCCAGAGCTCGGCAAGCTATAACAATATGACACTTTAAGGTCAAATCCAATCTTGCTGTGTTTATGGAATGGGCCAAATACTGAGCAAACAGCAGGAAAGAACAATTTATTGGGTTTTTCTCTGTCTAGTGATTATTTGATTTAAATTATGACAGATTTTATTTTTTCGTGAGAACAAAGGACCTTTTAAGTACTCAAATGTTGGAAGAGACTTTTTCCTCATTGTAAGTAAAATGTGTCTTTTGCAAATAATGATGCTCAGTGCAACTACATTTTTTACTCTTTTGTGAAACAAACACCAGTAGTACAGATAATTTAATGGTGTATCAATACCATATAATACTAGTTACACTTAAGTATTTTGCATGGATGTGTGCAAAGTATTATTCCTACCTTTACATCTGAAGTGTCTCTTTGGCTATTTCTCCAAGATCTTGCCACCGAAGAGAAGGTTCGATCTGGATGATCAAATTTTCCATCATTTGCATTGAGGAAAAATGTAGTGAAAGGTTCCTATGCCAAAAAAGTACATGTAATAAGCAAAGAATCATGCAATAACTTCCTAATTTGTTCGTCTTCTCAGCTTAACATTTAAAATTAATTAAAGAAAGAACGAATACAGAATTAATCAGTATGTCACACTAATACATTGCTTATGCTTAATCTCTTTATACAACTATCACTACTAATGTAGTAATCACTACTACAGACCAAAAGCATCTGAATCCTAGAATGGAAGGATTACAATGAAATGATGTGCCAGCTGTACATTAAGAATACTATCTTCAAGAGATTGGTGCAGTACAATTTACTTTACATTCGTAAGCATTCAACATAGTCCAATGAATTTTCTATTTATTTTATTGGCCAGAATGCACAATAATTTTTGATAAGGCTGCCCTTTGGAGAATCTCTAATTTATTTTTTTGCATGTGATACGTGTGTGTGTGTGTGTGTGTGTGTGTGTGTGTACAGAGAGAGGGAAAGAGAACAAAACGGAAGTACTTTTAAATCCCCTTGAGACTGATCTAAGCATGTACTTAACACTCCTATTGCACAGGACTTGAAAATGCTTAATTTTGGCAGCATCCTGCATCAATTAACTATGTTGTGAAATTCATTTTGAAAACTTAGCATGTATTCAATAAGAAATGAAAGCTTAGCTCTATTAGTAAATTATTTATAAGTGCTGCACACATTGGCAGACAACTTTGCATAAGGTTCCCCCTTTAAAAAAACACAAGAGCAACTACTGTAAAGCTGGATTCCATTAGCTCGAAAAAGTACAACTATCTGTTTGCAAGTGTTGCAACAGACCAAAGATTTCAGTGGCACAAAAATCCTATGCAAACATCAGGGCAATGAAGTGGGTGCGGAGAATGCAAACACTGACTAGATAATGCCCTCATATCACTGTGTAGAATGAGATTATAAAATATTTAGTGAAGGATTAACCCTGATATTTAAGCTAGTTACCAACTGTTGGTCATTGTTAGTCCAAGACATTTTTCTGCCTGAAGGAAAAGAGAAGATTGCATCGCCATCTCCATTCCACATACAGAGGGAAAGTGGAATTTGAATCTTTATTCAGTACGAGTTAGGGAAAGTATTTCCCACTATAGCAGAGGACACAAAGCAAGTTTATGGAAAGCAGGGCAATCCATGACTCTGTCCTCCAACAACTGGGAATGGATAGATAACTCAGAAAAATGAATGCCTACTACTGCACCTGCATTCTTCCTATTGGCCTTGCCTCAACTTTCAGAGGAGAAATTCTCTCAATTCAGATTGCAAATTCAGCAATAATGTTTATTGGACTTTTTTCCTATAAATTTTGATTTCAACCCACTCTCCTTCTTAATTTCCATCAAAATAATTACTTCATACATATATTGATTATGCATGTACCATGATGTGGCCTTGCCAATATTTTTTCTAAATTCCAGTGTTCCCAGTACACTACATTTTCCTTACATTCAGATCCACCAAACTGAATTCAAAATTCCTCTTAAACCTAAATAATTCTCATGATATGAGCCAGTAACAATGCAAAATCTACAGAAGCACAGCCTTATAATGATTTGTAGCACAATTTGGTACATATAAATTCAAAAGTTTATACTTCAGTGGGTATTATTTTGTAGTAAGTGTATACATACTTAGGGTATAATCCTATGCATGCTGGGAGTTGCAAAACTTTTTTCTGCATAGGATTGCACACTTAATGCACACTTAATGCGTTTACTTATGTGGACAAATCAATAGTGATGCATGCTATAGCATTTCTAATATGGATGTTGGCAGATAGAGAATTACAGTTCTTTGCATCATTAGATTAAAAATTGGATGCTGTTAAGTTCTGTTAATAATAGCTGCATTTAGTTAAGAAGAAAAAAGTAAGAATGTTTTCCTAAAACCCAGCATTTGGGAGCTAAAGTAGAAAAAGCTGTATAGTCCTGGAAGGTAAACATGATAACAATGCCAAGCAGGTTGACATGGGCCATGAATGCCTCTGACCAGCATGTGTCTTCATTTCAGAGAGAATGCAGTCTCATAATACTAATACTAATTTATTTCAACGGCAGGTTTTTATGGTCAGACATTTTCAGCTAAGGGCTGTAAATACAGATGAACAGCCAAGACTTAATGGCCAAGGTTATGAGCATGTTTCTGAAAAGTTACTGAATGTCTTGAAAGTGTAAGAATTGCTCATAGATTTGTGTGGCACTGGGATTGCTAAAATGGTGCCCATGAGCACCAGTGTGCTCCAGACACCTCTCTTGGAGCCCACCAGGCAACACCCTCATCAATTATTTTATTTCTCATGGGGAGATGATTACAAGTTTTTTTTTTAACTGAAAGTCTGTCATGTTGGAAAGCAAAGTGGTTTCATGTTTTGAAGCACCTCTGCCGTGTACTAGTTTCTTGGGCAAGTTGTTTTATTTTCAATCTCATGCCTTCTGTGAAACAAGAGTTTTGTTTCACATGGCCCACCAACAGCCAAGTTATGAATGGGCAAGCTGGCTCAATGGAAGCCTTTTGGGAAAGTGCCCATGACACTCTCTCTCAAAACTTCCATTGTTCCCATCAACTGAAAATGATAGAGGTTGCCTGAGCATATAGACATTGCATTCTGGTGCATACATTGTTCAGAGAAGCAAAATCTTAGTTTACTTATTTTAGTATTGTGCCAAAGGACTTACACCAAGACAAATGCTATTGGTAGGATTCCTTCCCAACATTATTATCCAACAGCACGGTGAGACTTCAGGAAAATGCAATGTCTATGAACAGCTGCCTTTATTGCACCATCCCTCTCTATATCTTGCAGGCGTGATCTGCTCTGAGCATGAGAAATTTGCACTGGGCAGTGGCGAAGTTTGGAATGGAATATGAAAGATGCATCAAGAATTCCCATTCAGTTGCACTGCCTGTGTGTCATGTGCTCATGTAGGTGGGAGTAGGGGATAGCTCTATAGGATTCTATCTGGATTTTCTATATGTAGGTAGTACAACCATGGTGTGAGCTGACCATGGCTAAAGAATATTTAATCTCAGATGGCTGAAAGATATTTTGATTGGAGAGAAAGAACTTTCATCTTCATCTTTCCCTTCTTTGTCTACTATTACAGTCTGTTTGCCCAAGGAAAACAGAGTTAAGTGTCTGTTTAAGGGAGCAAGTGATTAAAGAGGCTAATAGAGGGAACAACAGCCTTTGCTAATTGTCTCCTGAGCTTGCAAAAAGCAATCCAATTTACTGTCTCTATTGCCTTATTAGCAGGATAGTTCTCAAATAAGGTTTGAGAACTATCCAAGCTCTGAAGAACTCCAGACCTTGATTATTGGTCTGTTCACACCAAGGCAAGATTGGCAACATGCCCAATAAAATTCATTGGTCCTGATACCAAAAACTCTAATTCAAAGACAATAAATTATCCCAAAACACTATTTCAACCAAAAAAATCTTGGAGTTCTGTCAAGCATATACTGTACCCACATTTTTATATATTGCTAGGCATGCACACCTAATATTTCTCCACCGGTATTGCATGAGTACCATCATAATAGATAGCAATTATGGTTGTTATACATGTGCTGCTATCAGTCCCCACAGTGCATATGCCTTCCAAGGTATAAAACTAGTGTTATTGTAATATAGCACTGATATTATGCAGGGGAGATTGATAAGACTCTTTCCTATTTTGTATTATACTTGTAGCACTAAACTACTCCTGCTTGTTGTTGTTAGGGTCAAGTCATCTTCAACTTATGATGACCCAATGAATCCAAGCCTTCCAAAATGTCCTGCCCATGACAGCCCTGTTCAGTTCACGTCAGACCCATTGCAACCCCATGGACAACATTCCTTCAGACCTTCGCGTCCTCCACCATCCCCTGGAGTCCACTTAAGCTCATGAATAATAAATAGTAAATACTAACTCTGTTATAAGGGATTATCACAGAGCATGTGTGTAATCAACATACCATCATAACTATTATATTAAGATAGTACTACCTATATATCTGAAAATCTCTCTGCTTATATCACATGAACAGTATAATATTGAGGGCACATGGAACAAAATGTTGCAGTGTATCATCACTGCCTAGCTTATGGGTTCCTATTCCTTCCATCCTTCCATTCAGTCATGCTCTTGTCCAGGCTAGTCCATTACAATTTCCCCACAATGGTCCCTTGATCATGTTGACATCGCCTCCTCGTTTCTTAGTGGACCCAGTTTGGCTATGAAGTCCTTGGCTCTCATCACATGAGTTCACCACTAGAGAAAAGGAGGATATGCACATTTGACAAATATGGATTACGTGTACCCATTATGAGTACTATACTATTGTGTTTGAAATAGGGTGACTTATTTTATACAGTTATGTGTATTTTATATTGTTCTTTATGTATTTTAATTTATTTATTTGTAAGCCGCCCCGAGGCTTCAGCGAATGGGGCGGCCTAGAAATTTTCTAAATAAATAAATAAGCCTACTCTGTAGAATTTGTGAGTGTCCATGTATACACAGGGACAACTGATGGACAGAAATATCAATTGTTTGGGTCCTGTGTAAACAGTGGAATCATTTATATTTAAATTTGTTTTTCAGCACCAGGTGAAGACCTTTTTATTTAAGCGGCATTTTAACTGTTAATATTATTGGATTTTATCTGTCCAGGGCGGCTTATTTTATATTGGTATTTTTGTATTTTTAACCTAATGTTTATATTTTTTTAATTTAATATTATAATTATTTTTTAACTTATTGTTGTAAGCCGCCCCGAGGCTTCGGCGAATGGGGCGGCATAAAAATGTTTTAATAAAATAAATAAATAAATAAATAAATAAATAAATAAAATTCTTCAGCCCTATACCTTATAAAGAGACTTAGGAGAGCCATATAGCAACGGAAAACGATGAGCAGTTACTTCTCTTCTGCTGGAAAGACTGTGACTGCCTGGTAAAACAAGTGGCTGAACAAGGCTACAGTTAACTAGACAAGAAGGTTATACTAAATTATACGTGGAAGTTAGTAATGCTTGACGTTTTAATTATGACACATTTCAATTAAATATAAAACATTCTGCCTATACACCAAGTGGTAAGCTTGAATAAGCAGTTTTACAAACAGTGTAGATTTTAACTCCTGATACTGCGAATAAAAACAACTTGAGCTTTTGAGACTTACATGGCTATTCAAAACACACACAACAACAACAACCTCCTGTACACCTATACTGCATTGTGAAAACTGTTTTGAAGCTGCTATTGGTAGAAACTGAGATTTTAAATCAGAAGCAACTGGGGATTATAAAAAGCAGTAGGAAAATGTAATTATAGTAAATTATGTTAAAGCATAATCCTAAATTCCATGACAACATTCTTTAAGGGGACTGAGACAAACACAAAAAGCAAGAAGATTCATAGTGAAGGATTAAGCCTTTCACAGTAGAACACTACAGGGTGCCCTATTATACCAACTTATGGTGTCTATCTTTTGGGGGTTTAATCCTTAACAGCAATGCCTAGGCTCTTCTACTATTTATCACATAGTGCCTGCATTATCAAAAAGCACTTCTTACCTTCAACAAGAATTTTATAATCATATCAGTGTGCGCACAGTGCTTTCATCTAGTTTTCTTTAATGTTGAAAATGTTATACAACATGCAATATAATGATGTTCAAATGAAGCTGCTTGGAGGCTATAGGTACAGTAATGGTCATATTTGCTAGGTGCCTGCTTCCACTTCTCTTTAATTCTGCTAAATGCCTCTCTTAGCCACCACTAAGGAGATCAATGTTCACTGTTGATGTCTGCATGGATCATAACTAGGGACAGATAGATCGGTCTATTTCTAGTCTATGACAATTTTGTATGTTTTCAACTGGTTGTTCATTTCATTCTCTGTTCTGCTAATTTGCTGTCTTTTTTAAGTACAAAAATTGCCATTTTTATTTTACATGCATTTTGAGACCTGAGAAAAATTGCAAAATTTGGAAAACTACAAAGTCAGAAGAATAACTATGTTCCAGTCCATGTATTAATCTAGGAAGTACAAATTCAGTTTATTTGGACCAAGTAAAATTCTCTAGTAATGCTAATCATAACCAAATGTTTTTATTTTCCCATAAATTGCTTTCCCTCTGTTTGGTTTTTAACCATGTTATGTGATAATGTCCACACTGAGTAACCTGTAGAAGTCTTGTTAACATGCAAACATTATTCTGTTTGCCTTCAGTGGTGCAGCTAGAGCTACTACAAAGTCCACAATCCTGTATCACAGGATCCATTAACAGAATGAAAGGACAAAATGGCACAGTCAACCATTAACAGAATGGTAAGTGACTTTAATCCTGTAGTGCCAGTGATTCTGTCATCCAACTGTGCCTTAATAGGGACATATTTAGAGTCTTTTATCACACCTACACACTGCATACTAGAAGCAGTATCTATACATTTTTTAAAACATACCGAATAAGTGGTTATTACATGAGAAGTTTACAGCGGTTCCTATTAATTTAGTATCCTATAAACTAAAATCAAAGGAAATGTTCCTTATCAAACCCCAGGATCATTGCATTGAGTCTTTTAGAGTTATGGCTGAAAAACAAAAGGCACTTTCAAAGCCTAGGACCAAAGGCATGCAATTGGTTATAACCAAGTAGACAGGTCCCAGAAAAGCAAGATAAATACAGGAGACAGGAAGAGTATTTATCAGGTAGGACTTGGTCTGCACACTACAACAACCCTCAGTAAAACAAACTGCCATGAGTTTGTCCCACTTCCCCATTCCATCCTGTAGGCTGACAATTCCCAGAAAAGTGCTTCCATTGACAGTGGCTGAGTGTGTCTTGCTTGTTGCTCTTATCTGCAGTAGAAAGTGGCTATTTAATACAGTCTACATCAAAGACTGTCCCAAAGCTTCCCATACTGCACCTTTTCCCAATGTTCCATGCTAGGAGAAGCCTTGTGCAGCCATTCCTCCTGGTGACCAGAAAAGCAACAATCACCTAAGGTCTTTAGCCAAGTTAGTTCTGGGTCCCAGAAAGTAGCAGTCAATCCTATAAGGGAGGAATCCTGTTTTTTTGTTTTTAAAGAGAGGGTTTCTATTTATGTGAGGGTATAGACTTAGAGAGGACTTGCATCTGTCTAAACACAAATAGGATTGTGCACTAAACTATGTATTTATTACAGTGACTAGCACAACCGAAATATTAAGAGCTCAAGCAAAATATTTCTTCTGCATTGTTCAGTGACCCTGATGTGAGGCTTGACTCACAGCAGGATAGATGAAGAAGGCCAAGCCAAAATGTTAAAAAAACTAATAATAGTGTTTCTGCTTTGTTTGCTAGTGTAATAAATATGAACAATCAGCATCTGGATAGTCCTTTTCTTATAAAGGTGATGGGCAACCTGACTAGTGGTTTTATCAACTTTCTGACACAGAACTACCATATGGCTAGTTCACTTTTGCTCAAGTGCATATTAGGACAATGTTATCTGACTTCAGTTAACTACAAACAATTTGGTAATAAATACATAAACAAATAAGGAAAACTATTCTGTCTTTTTAGATCAGTTGAAAACTTAAAAGAGCATTTACCTGTTTTGTTTGCTTTAGTCCCCTTAGGTGAGAAGGACACTTAGTTTTATTACGTATGTATTTGCTACATTTATACCCTGCCCTTAAAACAAGGAGAACCAAGTGGTATTTTTCCTGACCTATATTATCACCCAATTTATTTTTCCTTTTATCCAAACCCAGCTCTCTGGTCACTATACTGACTGGGTCTTCCAGCCTAGTCATCTTTCCTGTACTTTTACATTCTAGTCAAGTACAACTTTTTCTAGATAATGATTATAATCAAATGCTGATATTGGAACCAATGTGGTGTAGTGTTGAGACTGCCAGAATAGGTCTCCGAAAATCTGGATTCAAGTCCCCACTCAGCCATGAAGAGGACGAGGGGCAGGATATAATTGCAATGTGATGATGATAATTGTCCAGATACATTGTTTCCCTGCTGTCCTTAAATGTCTTCAAATTCTGTCAATTGTTTGTAACTTCACTGTTAAAACAGAGGTGGTGGTTGCACTTGAATACTAGGGATTTATTTAGCTGATCTTTATATTGAAGTAATTGACTTGATCTACTTGTTCACTGCAGCCTCAGTGCCATTATTACCAAAAAGCAGGTTGACCTATCTGAGTAATTGTACAGCCAATACACCAAACATAAAGATTTTATAAGTTTGAGTGTTTTTGAAGATGCACAATGATTCCATTAAGTAAAAGTAAAAACTGAACCTGTCATCATAAGGTAAAGTTACTAAGAGAAAAGGAGGAGGCCAAAATACTTACAATGCGAACAAGCCACGTTAATGTACAAGCAGAAGTTGAATAATGAGTATTGTAATGATAAGGCGGAGTCTGATCATCTTCCCATGTCTCATAGCGCTCTGCATAAAAGACTGCTCTCTTTGGATTCAAAGCGCCAATGGGCTGTAAAGAGAATAAATATGGTTAACATTATGAACAGCAGGAGAAAAGAATGTTTTGGAAATCTGCATCACAATTTTCATCTGTATCCTTCAATAAAGATGCACAGCGTATGATATTCAGCAGCCAATATTGATAACCCATTCTGTGCTAATATAATCTGTTTAGACTGAGTGGGAATTTTATTACAGAGGCTTCAATTGCTAAGCATAAGATTTCTTGTTAAAGCTGATCAAGTATGTGGTATTCGTCTGCAAACTTCATGATTACCTTGAAGGAAAAAAACTAAAAACCCAAACCCCACTTTCTCAGTTAATTCAGCAATAGTTCTCTGAAAGCATACATCTAAACCTACATTTCAAGTTTTCAAACCAAAGTAACATTGTTCTTGTCATTCAATATAATGACACAGCTAATGAAATGTGACTTCTGTTCAAGCAGGGTACTTTGTAATGCACATTTCATGATGAAAAGATTTTACACAGAAGGCTTGGTGGTGTTTGGTGATCTTAAGCAGAAATTCTTGACTATGTGCACAGTTGGGACTATTTCCCAACAGCAACTATTTCCAAACACGACCACTTTTTACATAAAGAAAGATTCTTAATAGAATACCCAGTTTTGGCTTATTTGCTAGCACAAAAAAACAATTTTAGCTCTGTGGAAGTGTGTCACTATGTTATATAAGTCTGGTGTCCTCCAGATGTTTCAGACTACAACTCCCAGAATTCTTGATTATTAGCTATGCTGGTTGGAACTGATGGGAATTGAAATCCAACACTTTGGACGGGCACTTGATTGAGGAGGCTGATAAAAATAATTAACCAATGATCACTTCCTAATAGAAATTTCTTTAGTCTTAGTCTCACTTTTGCTTCTGTGATTATTAAATGTTTTTAACTGAAAAGAAAACTCCAAATTTGCTATGGAAACTGATGGCAACTCTGTTAATAAACTTGCTCCTTTGGATGAAATAGATCAGATGCTCAGTAACAGTTAAGAAAAATGTTGGCGAAGCTGGATACAACCTTTTAAAAGGCATGCTCATTTTACTTCATTTCCTCCTTCATCATTATATAACCTCTGTACTTGCTAGGGTTACTTGCCCATATTATGGGGATATTTCCAGATTATGATAGCCTAAGGTCACAATCCTATCTATTCTTAGACAGAAAAAAGTCCTAAAACTCTTTTTCTACCTTTTTTGAAACAACATTTTTGTCTAAACATTGCATCTTTAAAGAATAATGAAAATGTAATGAGCATTTTCAACAGTAAAAGGAACATGCAACAAAACTTAAGTCTTAATTAACCATGATTCTGTAAAATCTGCAGGGGAAAATAAAGACCTACAACACATCCTTCCCTTTCCCTGCAGGTCATCGGGTCCCTCCCCTCCTCCCTGCACAAAGGTGCACTCCTGGATGTATACATTAACATGGACAAGATCACTTCTGCATTTACTAGTTGAATTAATAAAAGGAAAAACATTTTAAAGACTTCAAAGACCTGATCATACTACACAGTTATTGAGTTTAACATTAAAAATATGACCGTTATATGTTCACGAGACCTTGGTAAAGGATGGGGTAAAAATGCTTTAAATAAATAAGTAAAATATCATGTCACGGAATAAAGACTTTATTTTTAATACTTTTATCCCTTTACAAAAAATGTTTAGAATATGTTCAGAACCTATGAACATATTCTATTGTGTAAAATACATACTGGGACACATTTTTTTCTAATATAAATTTCTAATAATATATGTAACCTACAACAATAGGGATACTATAAAAATTGATCCATACAATGTATTCATGTAATGAATGACAGTGAATCTAATACTTATTTCCAGATCCTTGGGATGTAAATGTTGGTTAAATATAAAGCAAGGTATCTTTTATTTCACAATTCAGGAAAAAAAACAAATAAAACACATGTCTACTATTTTATAGATGTTCTACCTTGTGGATAATTAGAACTTAAGTCAATATTATACCAAGACTTTGGTTTCCCTAAACTTTCTGATTGTTTAATACTATGCTGTGTCAAGGCTATGCTAATAGCTTTCTCATGTGTGTAAAATATTTAGTAATCCCACAGGATCAAGCTTATCTGATGCAGATTGCACTGCAAGACCTCACAAAACATTCTTGAAAAGAAAGCATGACCCATTTCTTAATCTTTCCCAGGCATCTTCCCAACTACTGGAACAACAATAAAATAAATATTTACATTTTTCATTTTATTCAGGTTTCACAGGCCACTCTATCTATAGTGTAGTTCAGCACTAAATGTAACAAAAGTAGTCAATTATTGTGCATGTGATACCTTTAGTAATAATCTATGTTTAGATTATTATTTATTCTAAGTCATATCTATAGATTTGACAATGCAGTAATAAATGGATGCAACAGGAATTTGTAGTTTTCATACTGCAAAAGTTGATGCAGCATTCACTACAGTTGCAAGAAGAACTGTTGAGGTTAAAATAATAGGGTCTCGAAGAACAAACTAACTTTTTCAAAAAATATGTTTGTGATTAGTCTTGGCAGGAAAGGAATGTTGTCTAGTGATCACAGCAGGAATCGGAATTATGAGACGTGAGTTTTACTCCTGTCTTTGATGGCACATAGCCCTCCACAAAAAAGAGTAGCATGTTTCCCTCTCAGTTTCATGGTCCCTAAATTGCATAGGAGTCCTTGATATGGGCTTGTTTTAACTGCAGCGTTTAACTGTTGGCTTTTATTCTGATATGTGTTAGCCTGTTTTATTGGATTGGCTTTATCGTTTTTGTATTTTGTTTGAAAACTGCCCTGGGAACCATTTTGGATAAGTAGAGGTACAGACCTGTGCCAAATGAAAACATTAACATGGAAAAAATGTTAGCTTTAAATAATGATTAAAAATGTGTTGAAATATCACTGGGGTTATGTCAGGTCACAAGTATTGGGAATAAAGTGATAGCCTAATCTACTGCATTAAAACACTTCTAACTCTGTAATCATATATACTGTATACTTATCTGGGACTAAGGCTGTAATCCTATAACTATTTATTTGGATTAAGCCCCATTGAAGTCAATGGAAATTACTTCTATCTAATCTTATAGATAGGTATAAGATTCTGCTTAGATGTAGGACCCAGAGCTATGTTAAAGGCTCCTATTTAATACTGGGCATCCATAGCAAGGCTCCTAGTATGATTTCAACCTCTGTTAACCTTTTGACAAAAGGCCAAGGCTAAGCTTTCCAACTGTTACAGTTTTGCGCTCTATTGTTACAGATGGTTTAGTGTTCTTGTTTTAAATGCTTATTTATTTCATATTTCATTTTATATGTTAATATATTATAATTTTTATTGTAAGCTACCCGGGTAGTGGGGGGGGGTCTTTTAGCCAAATAAATTTTACATAAGGATAGAAGCCTGTGAAGTAAATACATAAACTAATAATAATAAAAATAATGAATAACTAAGATAAAGGTTGCCATGAGCTGAAGTTGGATTCAGGAAAATGTATGCTTCACTTTGTGGATAACCTGCTCACATAATTCATAAAAGCATTTGTTACATTAGAGAAAATTAATTGTCATTTTGCAAGAATGCATAAACAAGCGGCAAAAGATATGGCCAGTAAAAATGTGAGTACTCATACCAAAGGCTGTATATGCCTCAGCTGATGACTGCCATGACCATGAAAGGTCTAACCTATGTATTAAATCCCACAAAAAGGATTACTGTAGAACTTGAACAACATTAGAGTCAACATCTGGGGTGTGCGTCTGAGTGCCAACTCCAAGGGAGGCTTGAAGGGCTGCAACAAGGGAGAAGTCACCCCCCCACACAAACACACAACTATGGAATGAGGCCTGCCTGACACCAACTGTGTCATCCTTTTGGTGCCAGGCTATGATGGCCCTCTGTGTTGAGATATTTAAAGACATATATGGATACTTAAGAGCTTGAGGGGTATATCTATTCCACAAGTTTTACATGTCTGCAGTGTATCAAATGTTGTTTTAGCTGTTTTTAACTTGTATTTCAATGTTTGCATTTTGTAACATTGTATGGTGCTTTATTGTAGTGTCTGTTTTCTCAACTGCTCTGAACCACCCAGAGTGCTCCAGATATTAGGCTGTATAGAGATGATGGTGATGATGATGCAAGCTAGTATTCAATAGGAGTCTCATGAGTAACATAAACATTCTGTCTCCAGATTAATTCCAGAGCATTTTCTGCAAGACTTCCCACAGAGATTGAGGAGAATACAGCATTTCTCTATAGAGGTCTCTTAGCTTGGCATTGCCTGTTCAATCTAGCTTGGTCATATTATCCTTTTTTGGGATGCTTCAAATAAAGTGTAGCAGAGTCTGATTCTTCTGTGTTTCAAATGTAAATATATGTGCCCGAAAATATCAATTATTATTATTGCCAAATGAGGTCAACAGGATGTCTTGACAGTATCTTTTCCATTTTTAGTACGTTTGGTGATTCAGTCTTCTTTCATATAAACTATGCCACTGCTATTTGATCCATAGTTTCTATATTTCTTACATTTTCATTCCTTACTAGTATCATGTCTTTAAGAAAAGCCAATAAAATGTTAATCGACAATATACTTAATATGGCATATATTATATTAAAGTAAGATTATAACTCCAGCATTATAATTTTAGGTTGACAGAATAAAGACAAAGCATTTTGTACTTTACAGCACAGTTTTATGAATGTCTACTCAGAAGCCAGCCCCAGTGAGATAACTGGGTACAGCCCTTTGCCACATCCAACAACATTTATAAAAGGATGCTGTGTTGTATTATAGTGTCATTTTGAAGAGGCATTGTGGGACAGAATTGCCTGGAAGAACCATAGCAATGCACTGCTATTGCACAGTAGAAAAATGTGCTTTAAAAAGAAACACATAATAAGAGAGAAGAGGACGGAGAGACAAGCCTTTACTGCTGGCCTTTATAAACATATGTTCTTCTACTCATGAAGATTTAATGACTTCCCAGCCCACCAAAGATTGTGGGCTTCTTCAATCTCCCATCTAGTTTCATGATAATTTTTCAGCTAATCATTAAATTATTTACTGTAGGAGAAGGCTTTCTAAAATATGTCACCATACTAACACAGGTTCAATGCACAGTAGACTCATTGTTGATGTATCTACCAAGAGGCAGATAAATTGTTGAAACCAGAATAGTTTGCTTTTCTTCCCTGAAAACCTTACAAATTGATCCGACCTGAGAAGGTTATTGTTATTTACTCCCAGACATTTCTTTTGGACATGCTTTTCGGTTTCCTGCTGAGAAATATAGTCAACATCACAGGGATGCCCTTTATTAACTTATTTACAATTTTACTGGTTGATTTATGGGAGAATCAGAACATGGCCCAACTAATCCATAATTCTGTTACTAATGGTAGCAAAGCATCAAGGGCACTTTCACTTGTTTGACCCAGCATCAGGTGTTTGACCATATGCTGTCTTTATACATGTAAAATCCCCCCTTACATATATACCAAACAGCACCCTATTTGTTTATTGTCCTAAATGTCCCTCTTTGGGGGTACTACAATTTTTTTCAACATCGTATCTATGTAGCAAGCAAATTTCATAGCAAGAAACTCCCACTTTCACTTAGAGCTATCAAGTTAGCATGTGTCATTGCAGCACAGTAGTTCATACCTTTGATACTGAAAAATTACCCAACACAAATATTTGTTATGTCAAAGCGACATTTGCAATGGCAGATTAAATAGTAATTTTACTTAGTTCCCTATGAAAAACAAAATCTCATTTAAAATAAATGAAAAGGATACAACATAGCCCTAGCCAGACTATTGCTTAACCAAAACCATTTTGTTATATGAAAAACTGCTTGCTTGAAAAATTCACACTTCTGTGCATTCTTCTATGTTATTACATTCATAAACCTTAAGGCATTATCTCTTCCTGTTTCTTTAAAGTGCTATCATAATTTAAGAAAGCAGTTATGCTTAACATCATGTGCCAGTCAACGATCTTATGCATTAACAAAATATAATTTTCCCCTTTGGCGGATGGGTGTGTGTGATGCATTTCATATATGTCAATATTAGTAGGACTCCTTAGTTGTTGATAGAACTATTTTATTTAGCAGAGTGCATGACTGGAAGTAAAGGGGGGGAAATCCCATTTACACTTTAATGAGCAGGGACAATACCACATGTCAAAGTCATGTACTCAGTGCATCTTAGTAGGAAGCATTACACATTTTTACACAGGAAAACCACATTAAAGTACTATTCTTAAAGGAATCTAGTATGCAATAAGGTTCCAAAATATTCCTTGTATGAATAATTTGTGGTATTTTGTACAGGAAGATGCAATCAAGGTGAAATTAAACAGATCACCTGATGGTTTGCTAGTGCAGAGATAATCTATGTATCTATGACAGTCTCTTTCATTAGCTTTTCAACTTGTCAAACAATAAATATGACCTTTGACCTTCTCTGCATCTTGAATAAAACTTGAAAAGCCTGAAATATCTTACTGATAGAACACCTTGATGCATACTTTGCCTCTATTTTAAATGTTCAGTTAAAATAATTAAATGTGAAGGAGAGAACTATGACAAATTCTGCATTAGAAAGGTCATACAGTATGATTGTCCATTATAAATATTTCTTATCAGAAAAAATATTTCAAATATTTCAAAGAACTGAATATATTGGACAAAAAACAGAAACAAAGCTTTATTTCTATCAATATTATGCTATTGCTTTAAACTGAAAGTGAAATCCCTTACATATTGTCCCAATTTCTGATACAACATTCCAAAGATCTGCTCCTGGGGCTATTTTGACTAATTACAGAAGTAATTATCTACTTTAAAAGTATATTTATAAGTTACTTCCTAGAAAAAGAAGGGAAAGGAAATTCCTTATTTTAGGGCAAAGTTGTGTAAACAGAAATGTGTGTATGGGTGGGCGGGTGTAAAAAAACTGAATTACTGACTACACTGTACTGTACTAAAGATTATTTGATCTAGCCATTTTTTCAATTTGGAAATACTAAACATTTGTTGTACTTTAAAATTAACTGTTGGAGTTTAATAATAAATAGTCCTTTAAAGTAAATTATTAAAATTCTAGTATTAAAAAACAGTATTAAAACAGTTTGGCAGACATTTGATTGTTGCAGTTATTAGCTGAAATTAGAGATCAAACTGACAACAAAATGTTAAAATGCACAATTTCATTAATGTGAGCCCACGCTTGGTATACTGAAAAGCCTGCTTTTAAAGTCGGATTTAAATTAAGCTGATGACTTCTGACAACTAATTAACAAATAATTCATTATCAACAACAGTCTCTAGAAATATACTAAGAAGGCCACAATGGACAGTGTCCACTTTCATGCATTCAGGGAACTTGTTTGTTTAAACACCAGTAACCCATTACATGGAAAATCCATTTTAGTGATTTGCGGGTTGAAACGGACAGAGACATTTAGACAGAGAAATGCCTTATGCATGCTTAGATATGCTTGCTGGGGCACACTGGGAACTTCAGGACATTTTTCTGCCTGAACATGTATAGCACTGTGCCCATCGAGCAGTTTCAATAGAGGCCTGAGTTCAGTGGTCAGTAATCTTGGCTGTTAGACGAAGGGTAAAATCATTCCAGTGATAGCCACAAACCCCTAGTGGTAGCTAAAGTGGTTCTTTTTTTGAGTCTAGCCAACAATATAGTAATTTCTACATTAGTATACCATTTTTCTTGAGACTTAAATGTATAGTTTATTGCTATAAACGTATATATTTTCACTAATCCACACTGTAAAGTAGCAAAGTACTGGTATATATGGATGGGGGAGTAAGGTTGATTGCAATAGATTTCTACTGGTTACTGGTGAGTTTATGATTAATACTGATCTGAATTGGGGCTTTGGAGATGCCTAAGGAAGACTTGTGTGATCATAAGCATCCAATGGTTCTCTTTTTCAATCAGTATAAGGAATGCAGTCCTGTATAGCTCTTCCTGCTATTCTAGCAACAGGACCAACCTATGATAATCTTTTCTCCAGTGCATAGCAATCTTCTCTTCTCGGTTTCCTCAAATGTTTGGAATTTGTTTGGAATTCTGCTGCAAAAATCATTCATTTCTCTTGTCACTCTATTCACATGGCATACTTCTTAAAAACCTTACACTGACTTATGGTCTGCTGCTAGATTCCACACAAGCTAGCATTGGCCTTCAAACCCTCCATTGCCTTGCTCCCATCTCTCTCTCCTTATATTCTTTGCATTCCTGCCCATTTCTACTCTGTTCAACCCTCTGTTCCCCTAAAAACATTCAAGAACAAGGGCAACTTATTTCAGTAACATTTCCTCAAAGCAATTGTACTCAGAACTGTAGCCTGAACACAGCAAGAACACAGGAAAATAAGCACATTTGTAAGGTGCAAAGGACTTGGAGAAAAATCAGTTTTCTGTGACTGTAAAATCAGCAGAGGAAGCCTATTGGATCTCACTGAGGAAGGGAATTTCAGAGTGATTTTTCCAAGTTTTGTCATGGAAAAGGCTCAATTTCCAGAAGACAGTGGTGACACATGTATAAGCACTTATCTGGATGACTTAAGTCAAGGTTAGAGGAGAATGATGTCATTCACAAATCCTTAAAATAATGAGAAACATACATATGTAGTGACTCCAAATATTTTCAGAACAAAATGTTTTAAATTTTGGTTTGAGAAGATCATAATGTTTATGAATGGAAGGACTTCATTTTATACTAGTCAGCATTGTAAATGTATAGGATGCAAATACTAAAACTGGAAATTGCATGGAAACTGTACGCTCAGCTTCTTAAAAAAAGCAGATTTTAAAAACTACCATACTTAATTTTTGAGCTGGACAACATTCTTTAAGGGAACAGCACTATCCACAGCAAATACTCTAGCACACCTGCAGAACTGTCAACTGAATGAGTCAAAGCTGATTCATACATTGCAATCTTATTTGTTTCCTGTTACATCTTTCATTCTTTTAGCTGGTTTGCAACCCAGTTTTACATTAGGCAAGCTTCATTAGCTTAGGATGAAAACTTGTGAGACCATATTCAGGAATACATTTGCATTAACTGTCTCAAGTGTGCACATACTGAATTAAAAATTCCATCTGAAAACATGCCAAACAAGCACACATATATGTGCTTTATATGTGTGATTGTATGGCCATTTAGATAACACATAACACATATTCACAGATTCACAGAATCATGGAATAGTAGAGTTGGAACAGACCTATGAGGCTATCAAGTCCAACTCTCTGCTCAATGCAGGAATCCAAATTAAAATATCACTTTAACTGCCATTAGAATCTACCATTCACTATATTTATTCAGTAATGTTACAATTTAATAATAAGCAATATTACTTTTCCTTTCTTCTAATATTTTTAACCCTTGAGTAGATGTAACATACCTTTGAAAGATCTCTGAAGTTTCCTGGCAAGGTTAGATCCAATTCCTCTGATTCATAGTTTGTTAACACCCATGGAAAAACAGGATATTGGTTTAGATCATTATATGTCCGCCCTGATAAAGACAAAATATTGAAGGATATATGGAATGATTATTAAACACAATTTTTTCACTGAAAAAAAAGCTGACATCAATCAAGGAATAATTTTTCTTTTCAACAGTTTATCATATTTTTAGTTTCACCTGTTGGAGCAAAATAACTATCCAAAATTATAAACAGAAGCTGGTTGCCAAGGCCATGCATTCCATTAGCATTATAATCCTTTTTGTGTGATCAAGAAAGAGAAATAAGTCTGGTTCAGGGGAAGCAGGATCACAAGAGTTGTCCCAACCTACCACTCTGTGGAAGAGGCCATGAACACCAGGAAATCAGAACTGGGCCTAGCACTGTGCTTCTACTTGCCTTCCAACCACTCCTATTCAGTTGCTCCCAAAGGATTTAAATGTAAATTCAAGTTAAAAGTCTTATTGCTTAAAACTAGCCAGCTCACTAAGTCAAGCTCAAGAAAGCCTGCCAGAACTGTTTCCTGATGAGTGCTTTTGTAAATCTAGGTAGGAGAATTTACCCTGTGGTGAGCCACCAGAAGTGACTGTGTCCATCTTAATGATCACAAATTATACAGCCCTGTCTTACCTCAAGCAGCACCACACACATTTTGGTAATGTGGTAAATATTTTTATACCCTGCAGGTCAAATGGATGGGTGGTTTCAGCCTATGCCATTGGAAGAAACAGTTGAGAGAGGTGCAGAATCTAAATATACACAATGCGTTCTGCACCACTTTCTCTTCTTTTCACTTTCCTCTTCTGTGTGGTGTGCATCTGGAGCACAAAGAAAAGGAACCTGCTTTTCCCAGGAGACCCCTTGCACTGCCAGTTGCAATATGCAACACAGAACTAGAAAGACATTGCCTGGTTGAGGCCTAAAAGGGAAACTGCTTTTGCTGCACAGCCTATTTGCTTGTACACGAGAATTTCCACAGTGTTATTTCTCAGCTAAATAATGAGCCACATAAACGTATGCTGTTATTGGCATATGTTTTACCTTTACTGTAGGAGCAGATTTTCTTCCAACTAGGCTTACAGAGATTAATGTTAAAGGCTGAATATTAAATATTGCAAGCCTATGACACTAATCTACTTGAACAATAAAAACTGAGGCACAGAAAATGAAATCTCAGAAATACTGAATATGTTTCTTCATTAAAAATAACTTTTTAATTAAACCATCCAATTTAATGTTTTTATATGGCACTATAGTTTTGAAGGTAAAGTGATGTAGAGACAGCTGACAAAGAAATTATAACTGCAATTCCTTGGTGAAAATGTTAATGACAGCAAAATATTGTTTAATTAGATGATTGCAGCATCTGGATTAACACTCTTTAAAAGCGATGTTTCTGTGCTTGTCTGCTTCTTCACACTTTACAGACATTTTGTCATCTCTAGGTCATTAGGAAAGAATTTTTAATGGTTTTTCTAGAAGCAAGCAGTTCGAGTTACATCTAATTAGATGACAATAATAAGCCCAACACATGCAGTAGCTAAATATATACATAATTAACCAGTGAGGGCTTGCACATCACAGAGTAAAAATGTGGAAAATGCTAAACAGGAGGGGTGGGGGAGGAGTGGAGCTGAATTCATTACCTGAATATGTCAGTTTTCCACTAACATGTAAAACTACTTTCCATCCTAAATAAAGAAGGAATAGTCCTCATCCTTTATAGTGTCTGATTTCCAGCTAACTATATGTTCAAGTATTCTTCTTTACTAATTAGAACTTTGACATGTTGGATGCTTTAATGAAGAAATACTTTCAATCTTTTATAGGATATACTTTCCAGTGTAGTCTGCATAGGGATCCCCCTACTTTTCAGATGTACCAGAGATTAGATGGATTATTTTAAAATCCATTTTTATTTTAAATATGTATAGATAGATAACATTATTAGTCTGCAACCTAAAACAGACTTAAGTAGTGTAGAAATGTATAATTGTGGCTACTAACTTCAACTATCTACCTCTTCCATTTTTTCTGATTCTTGTTCTTCACTGTTGCTTGTTTACATTTGAATGTGATCATATACTGCTTGTTGTTCTAAACAGAAGAATTTCTTTTTTTATTTATGATCCTTCACTATCTAGTTAGAAAGGTGACAATGCATCAGTTAAAATAATTATCTCTCCTCCTCCTCCATATAAATCAAGAAATCTCAGAGAACTGAGCACAGAAAGAATAATTTATTCAACAGTCCAGTCAGGAAGTCTTATGTCTGCAAAATGAAGACAAAAACCAGGAGCAGGCAGAGTATAAAACTTAGCCTGACTGATAAGTAGCAGAGTGCCGTGTTTACCTTTGGAAAAAACACACACTGCTGTAAACATGATGAAATATGTCCAGTGACAAGAGGGGCAGAGAAGAGGTGAAGACCTTAGGAGCAGAATGAAGTAGTGAAAAAGCAGCTGGGTATGGTTGTCAAGATGAGTGTTCTCAAGACTCAGAAGGGCAATTTTGATTATAAACTGCAGATACTGTTAGGAAAGTGATGAGACTTTTGCATTAGAGAAGCCCTTGCTGGTTACTAATTATTATTTTATTAGTGAATAGACTTTTGCACTTGATTGAGACTACAATCCTCTACTTATTTACCTGGAACGAAGCCTTACTGAATTCAATAGGGCTTACATTTGAGTAGACATGATTTGATTTTAAGTGGATACTGTTAACAGCTGAGAAATGTCTGCAAATCCATGACAATACGAAACATTTCATATATAATTTTGCAGATGTTTTAAGGGTGGTATGGTCGCATCAAAATCTATCATTCCCAGCTTTGGAAAATATAAGGAAGAACAGAGAATTCCATGACATTACCAAGCAAGCATTTAAGCAAGGACAAATATTAATTAGTCTCATGAAGCTAATAAATGATAATTCATTCCCTTTTTACTTTGTAAATAAACTATATGTCATAAATCCCACTTACACATCCAAACGTGCTGTGCATGCTCAGTACAAATTTACCTTCTCTCCCTAACCATTGTCACCCTGCATACATTTTACTGTTCTATTGGCTTATTGTCTTATTGACTATACTGTGTTTACCTTTCTGTTGTATTTATATAGCTTTTTTACTGTACTATGTTCTACGGTTTTACTTATTATTGTCATCTATTTTTATCTGTATTATCGATTGTGCTGTGAGCCACTCAGAGATCCTTCTAGCTATGGGGTGGCATACAGAGGCAATAAATAAATGGATTATGAAGCTGCAGGCAGATGCAGTGCTGTGGTGCTCTGCAGGGGTGCAAATGATGCAGTGCGGGTGGGGCAGTATAATGATTTAGGAGAATCCATTTTAGTTAATGCAGTCTGAAGATGTGGATGAAGTACTTGGTGGAGTGCAGCTAACCACTTGTATCTCTCAACTGGCTGGGTCCAAGAGGTGCTCAGTGCCCTCTGCAGAAGGGAGCACCACCTTGAAAGAGGTGCTTGTGCATCTGTTTCTTAAAGAAACTCTCTTTGTCCTTTCTTTGCAGTCATATCCCATTTTTGGAGAACAGCCTTAATTGCACTTTACCGGGAGAGAGACAGGGAAGCTGTGACCTCTTTGGTACTCCTTAATCTCAGCAGCTTTTGATACAAATTACCATGGCAACTTATTGAACCGTTTCTGTAGGTTGGGTATCAAAGTCAGTGTGAGGCATTAGTTTGCTCCTACATGCAGGGTTGATTTCAAAAGGTGGCATAGGAGAAGTTTGCTTAGCCTCATGACATTTGAGCAGTAGTGTTCCACACTGTCCATCTTATCTCCCATGTTCTGTAGCATCTATCTAGGTCCCTGGATGAGGTCAGGGTTTTTGAAGTGAAGCATCATCAATTTGCTGATGGCACACAGCTCTATTTCTCTGTGTCATCTGATTTGGTGAAGCTGTGCAGGTGCTGAACCAGTACTTTGAGTCAGTGACAGGTTGAATGAGGGTTGAATAGAAGCAGAATTCTACAAAAGAGAGGCCCTCTGAGAAGGTGGTTCTCATATCTGGGAACTGGGTGTACTCTGTGTGCTTGATAAGGTTGCACTCTCCCTGAAAGAACTGGTGTGTAAGTTGAGGCTCAAGTGACTTCTGTGACTATGAGTGCCTTTTAACAGTATCAGTTGGATTATCAGCTATGATTGTTCCTGGATGATAGACTGGCTAGAGCAGTTCATGCTCTAGCAGCATCCAAATGGGATTATTCTGCTGTGTTGTATGAGGAACTGCTATTTAGGATGATGTAGAAGCTTCAACTAGAGTAAATACGGTGGCTAGAACTGTGAATAGCACAAACAGGTGGAATTATGCCAATTCTGGAAGAGCTGCACTAAGTGCCTATTTGCTTCTGAACCCAATTTAAGGTGCTAGTGTTTCTCCTTAAAGCCCTAAACAGATTGTAACAACATATCTACCGATGTACTCCTCCCTATATCATTCCTATACCTCCCAAGTCAGCAGAGGCCACTCTTCAGCTAATTTGGACATATTATGTAATAGCAATGCAGAAAATCCACTTTCTTGTGATCCCAGTTGTGGAATACCTTCCCACATGGAGCTACAACTAGTGCTAATACTGCGATTGCTTCAGTACTAGCTCAATACCTTGTCTTGTTTAATTGGTTATTTTTGTTCTATTGTAATTGCCTCTTTTTGTCCATATCATTATGATCTAACTTCACAGTTTCTATTGATTATGCATTATTTTAATAATTTTGTAGAATGCTCTGGTATCTACAAAACTGAACTCTGGTTTTAAAATGTTTCAATGTTTCAGCCAATCAATCAAACAATGGTAGTGGCATTTTTTGAATTAATTTGTTTTTCCTGGGGACAGGTAGAGGAATTCACACAATCTTGGATGGAGTCAGTGGTCAGTGTTTCAGCTGGGTCCCAGGAAGTAGGGACCTCATCAGTGGAGGTCTGGAGGAGCTCTGCCTTCTGCCACTGTCTCATCTATGGTAAATGGTGCTCCTTTTCACACCTGTCTTTGGTCAAGAGGAGGTGTATTTGCAGTAGTCAAGAGCTCTAGCAATTCTAGGGAGAAAATATCACTCCTTTTCCCACTGGCTCTTTATTTAAAAAGGGGGAGACTTCCTAAGCAGAAATAAGGAAGGAATAGGACAGGTTCTATTCATCATCCATTCCTAGGAAAGGCTGGTTTTATATGGTTTATCCTTTTCAAACAAAAGAAAACAACACCCATCAACAGAGATGAATAGCAGCTTTGACTTTTGTGTACCCTAACAGAGGGTTGGGACTAAGACTTAGGAGGCTGACTAAGGCCATTCATTGAGTTCAAGGATAAAGCAATATGTGAACTAAGGACATTCTGGCTCAGTTATTTAGGCAAGAGAAATTTAGAAATGCTGTTTGGATAGTTCTTTCATCTTTACAAGAATGGAATGGGGAAAAGTGGTGGTAAAGAAAAGCACTTGATAAATTGGGCTATCAAATGGGATTGTTCTCAGGATTACACGTAGGAATATAGTTGGATCAGACCATGGGTACATATAACCCAGTATTATCACTGACTCAATATATGAACACTGAATCACCATATAAATGTTCTTCCTCCTCCTCATCATCATTATCACCTAAATGGGATACATGGTTGCATATAGTACTGGATTAGTCCTGTAAGAAATCTCTCAGTGCAGAGCATCCTATATATCATAGTGACTCATTTTCATGCTGAAGTATATCTTGTTTCCACTGCTTGCTTGGCCTAAGCCAATGCGTGACTTACTAACCATGCATTAACTGAATGTAATATAAAACAAATACCAACAGCTTTACACAGACTGCCTTTCCTTTCAGCTCCTAATTAAAACTCAGAGGACACTGAGCAGTTCCATTACCCCTGAAAAACTTACCTGTGTTATTTTCGTGCACTGTGATGATATACTAATGGCACAAAAGTCCTTGAATAAAATGCTGAAGTCTTATATATGACAAATAACTTATTATGAGAAAGCTGCAATATCATGCATTAAACAGTGAAACCACTCAAACTGGCCTCTCATTAGTACACATAGAATGCTTTTAATTTTATGACTAATTGTAATAAAGTGATATCATGCATCCCAGTTCAAAGTACTAAAAAGGAAAGATGCTGCAACTTAATCATAACACCACCAGCTGACAACTGTACTAGACAGTATATTACTATTTCTTTGCTGTCTAGTTGCTGCAGCTAAGAATGACGTAGTAGCAAAATTACATTTTCCCATTATTATTTCCAGACACACTGGCAATAGTTTGTTGACTCTAATAAAGCTTCAGACAAAGCTGTCAGCAGAGGAAATGGCAGAAGGAGAGCAAAGAACAACCACCACCACAATAAATAAATCTGAAGCCTGGGTGATAGGTTGTGCATTTTCCGATAAAATTTAATGTGAGTTTTTCAGAATCCATCACAGCACTGCAGCTAAATTCCAGAGGGATAAGTGAATTCTATCAAGTCACGGTACTCAAGATTTTGACAAACATAAACATATTATGAAGGATTAAGGAGACAGAAGACTTACCTGCTATAGTATTCAGAAACATCAAGTATTCAAAGTTTGAAATCTCCCTTCGCTGCCACCGCTGAGTCATGTTGGAAGATTTATACAGTTGGCGGGGAGTGGCCAGAGAAATTCGTCTAGTAATTTAATGTAAATAATTTATTTTAAGATTTCTTTTATACCAAGACTGATTAACAATGGAATAAACTTAAATTATCTATTCTTTTTCTCAGTACTATTTCTATTAGAAAATGCTCATCAGAAAAATAATTATAAAATTAAATTGATATGAATTAATGAGATACCCAGTAAGAGCACTGCTAAAGTTTGAACACAGGATATATAACACAGTACAAAGTAGAGTTACTTAAATATTGTTAATTTAATTTACACGTGGATAGCTGTGCAGAATAGCAATCTGGGCAGGAAATTCAAGAACATTAGAGCTAGTTCAGTCGTGATTTAGTCTTCTGTATTTACTGCTAAAGTAAGAGTTTCATTCTTTGACTGGCCTGGATCTGGGTTTCATGTGGATTTAACTTTTCATGCAAGCGGTACACTAGTACCAGCACCAAACAGTTCACTGTTTGAGGAAGCACAGTCTCCTATTACTCCATCCCCATTCTTGGTGCAGCTTCCCATCACATTTTAACAATAAATTATGATGAATCGGAATCAGTGCAAAGATCTGGGGACTCTTTCTCCATCTGAAATGTTAATTCCAAAACCCCATGATTTACCTCAATCATCATCCCTAGAACTGTTTGATCTCAGCCCCTTTTTTCCACCTCTCCCTTCTTTCTTGCTCCCTTGTGACTAACCTGCTCCTCACCCTTTATCTACCACCTGGCTGGCTGAAGAAGAGACTGTGACGACAGCATGTTAGAGAGACTGGGAAGCTTTTCTTAGGCCAATGGTGCATGACCAAAGTGGTGGTTCGATGCATGCATGACTGTCTGCTCTGCTCTGTGGGCAACCTGTCATGACCTAGAACCCTAAACGTTCATCAGGGATCTTTAGTGCGGTGACGGCTTTTAAAGAGAAGCCTTATTGACCTCTGTATCAACCTGACACCACAGACTTTTCCGAGCCGGGCACAGGAGCAGAAATGAAGTATAGGCACAATAGTGCCATGACAGCAGAAGGAGCAGGCAGCATCACTCCTTGGTGGAGTAGCTCAAACACGAGTCAGTTGCAATAAGCAGGTGAGGCTGGGGAAGAGCCTGCCAGTGGGGAACTCCCTCTGGTGATCTGCGGCATGCTGGTCAGCAAAGCTATTTCTCTTTAAAGAAACAGTTGACTTTATTATTGTTAAATATTATTCATTAGTTACTACAGATCTGGGGGCATTACTGCTGCTTTTAATTTATTACTGTGCTTTAATGATTTTATACATACGTGTGTGTGTGTGTGTGTGTGTGTAGAGAGAGAGGTCCTGCAACTCATTTTTGTGAAGGACACAAGTGGGGCAAACATGTCTTACATGAAATAATAAAATAAATAAAACTTTCAGTATTTGCTCATGGAAGCTAATTCATGAGCTTCCAAAAATGTCTTCTTTCAACATTACATTAATTATGTGAACAGACTGTACCTTTGAATACTTGAATGAAGAAGAGAACCACTAATCTTGGGCAGAGAGTAAATACCCTAACCACTTAAAGTACACTATGTTATAAAACATGTGAAGAGAGATATTTGAAAAGAAAACTGTTTTTTCATCTCCTCATCCCAAACAGCTCACTCTCATACACATCTTATTATATTTTATTCATGATAGATGTATTTATATATTGACTGGGAAGAAGTAAAGCAAATAATAAGTATAATAGATTATGAAACCCTTTTCCATACATGTTTATATTATTCCAATTTCAAATTCTAATCCTCACTTCTCAATTTATTTGTAAATCACTGCCTGGTTTTTATGAACTCAAAAGTGGAAGACATTCCATAATATTCCACAATATTGGAATAAGACCAAAAAGACCAAAAAAATTGGGATTCTTGGAACTACTGTAAAACTCACAATTTCAGAAAAAATAATTTGAGTTAAATTGCAGTCATAAAAAATAACTTTTCTTCGTCAGTGAAATAAAGAAGAAAATCTACCACAATAGAATAATGCCTGATTCAGTGTCAGCTGGAAAGAATCTTATGGTTACCATAAGTACGTTATAGAAGCCATGAAATTAAATTTAGCATTCCAGTTGATGGAAATATTGAACTACTTCCTCAAGCCAAGTACAAGCTGGATCTCAGGCAATGTTTTGCAGAAGGCAAAAATGGCATCTCTGGTTTCAGTAGAAGAATATTCATGAAGAGATTCTTCTACTTTTTATGGCACTGCCAAGTCACAGTGAGATTTACATTCAGATTTGAAATACAGCCTTCAAATAAAAGCAGAATGCCCTGAAAGTTCAAAGGACAGTGGTGAAGATTCTATATTATTTCATGTGAAAGACTGCAATGAAGTATTAAAACTACTGTGCATGTTTAGACTAATGCCCATCCAAAAACGTTCAAGATGGTCAATAGAAAGTGCATCTATATACTCATAATAAAATCATTCTTTCACTATGGATCTTCATGAGAGCAAAATCCACATCCCCTAAAGACGAATCAGTATGCTTAGGAATTCCAAGATTTCAGATATAGAAAAATAACTAGAAACCTCCCTAAAGAGGGATCTTCCGAGGGGGGGATGGGGGGGACGGCTGAAGGCTGACTATGTTCAATGGAATGCTGGTTGGCTATTGGCAAGCGGGATAAAAAGGGTGGATAAGGCAAGATAATGGGATATGCTGGAAAAGGTTATGGTGGGCTGGGTCCCTCAGTTCCTACCTGTTTTCAAAGAATAGTCATCTTTATGTAGAATTGAGAAGAAGAGACAATATATCTCTAACAACTAGCAGTGTGTTGTTAGAGTTATATTGTGTGTTGTGTTGTTAGAGCATTAGACTAGGAGACTAGAGACCACCCACTGGGTGACTGTGCAAGTCACTGCTCTCTGCAAAAGCCAGCCCCACAGGGTTGCTGTAAAGTTAAAATGAAGCCACTCTGAGTTCCTTGCAGGAAGAACGGTGAGATACAAATGGAATATTAATTAAAAACTATATCTGTTTCAAGAATATAGTTTGTGTACAGATTTCCAATTAAACAAGTAAAGGGAGCAAACATGGGTCTTTGATTTGAACAGAAGCTGATAGCTAAATAAATATTTTCTTAGATATATCTAACCACTGCATGGCACACACTGGTTACCCCAGCTTCCTTGACAAGAATCTTCCAATAGTGACTATGGCAAGAAACACTGGCATGGTACTTGATTTCATCAGCCTTTGCTTATGAATTATCACTATCTATTACATCTTTGATATTGCAAACTAAGAGTCTACATTAATTATATTATGCATTTCTAATGCTGTTAAGTAAAGAACACCACCACCAAACTTACATATATAGGTTTGGCCTCAACTGTAAACAAGTTTAGAAATAAAAGTACCACAGCTACTAGCTTTCCTCCAGTCAACCATGTTGACTGGAGCATGCTGGGAGAGCTTTAGCTATGGGCTCTATAGAAATAAATAAATAAATAAATAAATGTAGGACTTTCAGATAATGCAAAGGACTGCACCTTTAATTCAAAGTGTGCAGATTTGATAGCGTCAGAATAGAAACAAATAAATATTTGCTCCAGAAGAAAATAATAGACATTGCTCTGCTTACAGCATAAAGTTATTAGGACAGACCACTTATTTCAGGTATAACTTGCATCTTTTAAGTGGATTTATTTTTTTACATAGTAACTTCTGATTTGATGGAACATAGCGCAAAACAAATCTCTTCAGAAAGCTTCCTACTGCTAAGATAGCTGAAGAAATTCACAGAGTGTGAACTGCTTTGGCAGAGTCAAATAAATTATGCACAGTAAATTGGTTCCATGTCCGTATGTTTCAGATAATATGGGAAGGACACAGCGCTATGGTGTTTTGCTAAATCTGCCCAGCTTTGATCAAGTCATACCTTTTGGATATGCTACCACAAATGTGCATATGGAAACATTACCTTTTTTATTAGAGAATAGGAACATCTTAGACTTAGCAGATCAAGGAAGCAGTTCCTTTGCTCTTAAGCACCACTGTAACTAGCATGCATTTCAAAGGGATAAGAAAGAGCATTGATTGGTAAATTGTGTCTTATGAGGCTAGGGAATTAACAAAACCTCCAACTAACTGAGCTCTCTACTACAGAGCTCTCTACTACTTCTCTATTATATGTGTTTATGAGCTTTTTTCACATCACAGTGAGCAGACATCCCTGTATAAAACCTAACTCTACATGCCTGGGCAGGATTGAATAGATAAAAATTACATAACTTCTAACTTAGAACTACATTTTTTTCCTTCAACAAAACAGTAAAATATCCAGAATTTATTCTGTATTACCCAAAATCTTTTTTCCCTATCAGTGGAATGTACTCTCACACATGGTGGGAATTCATGCTTTAGAATTTTCTTATTAAGCTTTTAAAAGGATGATGCATGTCTTAAGTGATTCAGACTGTAGTTCTGTACACTACCATGATACAATCTGTAGCCCATGCTCATCTGGCTAAAAAACCCTCCTCTCTCCAGTGATCTCAGTGCAGACAGTATCACTGCTTCCACGACAATAATGGTGATGTGCAATCAGTAATGTCTGTCACAGTTTGGTGAGGGGGTGGAATCTAGCCTTCCTCTTCCTCAGGGCTGCTAAAATGGAGTAAGGTTAAATCTTGCCCCACTCCATCCAATGTGTGTGTGTATGTGTGTGTTTGCAATGTGTCTGTGTATGTGTGTGTTTGCAATGAGTGTCCATGTGCACACACAACTGCAGACCTTGTCAACAGTAGATATGAACACTGGGGCTCAACAGAATTTACTTCTGCTCCACTGGATTCAACAGAATTTACTCCTGAGAAAATATATATAGTATCATACTGTTAAAAATCTCTTCAGTTCATTCCAATCTCCAAAATACTGGGCAAGAATCCTACTTAATAATCTCAGTCAAATGAAATATTTTTTAAGAGGAAGCCTTATGAAGATGAATTCACGTGACATTCAGAAACTCCATTTGAACAGTTTTTCTTCAAAGTAATCCTTTGCTTCTGTGTCTAATATGACAGAAATATTAGGGATGTTTAACATTATTAGGCTTGATGGGTTTGTGAAGCTATCCCAAAACAGAAAATAAAGCATATTATGATACCTTGCTTGTGGCAAGCCATAGCTGGTTCCCACTCCAACACGAGGTAAGCTGTACACCACTTTTTTCACTGTTGCTTGGTCAGGAAAATTAAACATTACAGAGGCTGTAAAACAATCAGAATTGAGAATTACAGAACAGGGGCAGGAGATACCTCTAACCCAAAATATTCATTTCAAAACAAACCCCAAGAATGTATTTTAAGCAGGAATCAGATGGCAATCCTTCTATAGAACCAGGACTTTTTAAAGATGCTTCTCAAATTTCATATAAACTGATATGTAGCTGTGTTGCAGGAAAAAAAGCACCTTCCAGGTTCAAATTCAAATTATGGTGAACACAGTTTCCAAGTCTAAATATGGTGATCTGATACAAGAAAAAATGATTTTATTGATTTTAATTTTGGCCCATATCAGACTAAAAAGAATGGGAAAGCTATGCTGTTGTGGAATTCATGTAGGTACTTCATCCCTCTGCATACATTGTATAAATACTGGATATCCTGCAGAAGTCATGTTCTGAAAGGAAGGTACAAAATGAGCTATTCAGCCCATGGGCAGACTAAATGGAAATCTTAAAACTTACTTAAAGTTCACCAGAACTGGTATTAAAAAGATGCATGTTTTATATTGACTAGCAATGCTATTTACATATCAAATATATATTTGTAGCATCTATTTAAAGACAGAAATCACTAGTTTTAGAAAATTGATTATTTGGGCATCACCATTATTTCTAGAAATATTATTTCCTGGTATAAATATCACCCACTTTATAAAGCTGCAGGCAATTTTCTCCTGCTCTGATGCATGACTGAGATATGTTTTGTGCTCACTAGAATATGACATGGCTACATTCATCTGGGACAGTGGAGAAGAAGGGAATTAATTATCCAGTTTGGTGGAAATAGGAACATAAGAAAAGCCATGCTGGATTAGACAAAGAGTCCATTTAGTCCAGCATTCTGTTCACACAGAGGCCATCCAGTCGCCCATAAGCAAAATATGAGTGCAACAGTGCCCCCAGACCATGTTTCCCAACAACTGGTATACATAGGCATACTATCTCTGGTATTAGAGGTAGCATACAGACATCAGGACTAGGCGACTTTGATAACCTTATCCTCCATGAATTCGTCCAATCTCCATTTGAAGCCATTCAAATTAGTGGTCATCACTACCTCTTGTGAAAGTGAATTCTATAGTTTAAGTGTGTGCTGTGTGAAGCACTTCCTTTTATCTGTTCTGTATATCTCACTAGTAGCTTCACAGGAAGACTTTGTTTTCGTTTTATCAGAGGGGAAGAAAAATGCCTTCCTAGCTACTGTTGCCACACCATAATTTTATACATCTCATCAAATGTCCTCGTACTTGCCCTTTCTCTACACCAAGGTGTTATTTGGTCTACTGCAGAATAGCAGCTTCCTTATGAATTGACTACTTCAAAAGGTGGTCTCAAATCATCTCAAAATGGAATTAGGATTGCCTTACAATACAAACCTATCCACATTTACTCAAAAATAAGTCCAATGATGGTCAGTGGTGTCAGATAAATGTGCAAAAGATTGAACCTCTCCAAAATACAGCCTATTTCTAAACCTAATGATTTTAAACCTATTAAAATAATGAAGCAGATCAAACTCCAGGTCAACATTTGCTAAAAAATAAAAAATAGTTAACATACTTCTGTTTGCCATAAACACCTCCAAGGCTGTATTCTGAAGAAGGTAACGTCTTGAAAAAACAGCTCGAATTTCACTGAACATCCATTTTCCATGAAGACCTTCTGTATAAGCAAGAACCTACAAAAGAAAAAGTGTATGGAAGCAATATGTAAACAATCCAGGATACTTGGGGAAAAACAGTGTAAGGACAATGACTGCCTCATGTGCATTAACTCATCTTACAGACTGCATATATAGTTTAGCCATCCGTACATCACACAGAACATGCTAATGCCTCCAGACAATGAAGAAATTGCAAGATATATTCCAATAATTAGCTATCCTCATTGGTGTTTGATCAATGCATTTTATTCCAGAATAAACTTTACTGACTGAACATCAGGTAACAAGATCTTGCAAGCTTTTTGTCTGTCAGACTGAAAAGAGTTCTAGCATCAGATATCTTCTCCTATCACACTATATGTTTTGATAGCCTTTTAGTGTTTTATTTATCATTATTTATTTTAATTTGATATATGATAACCTAAGACCATGTACATTTATGGAAAACCCAGGTCAATCAAAAATTATAAATCTTAAGGCAAATAATGTGGCTCTAAGAGAGTATAGTATTTTGGGTGTCACAGCAGCAAAATATTTTTAAACATTTACTTCAAAATAGTCGCTCTATAATGCACACCACAATTCCACTAATATGTTAGAAGGGGAAACTTACCTACCATACAATGTAGGTCATACAAGTAATTTGTTCTAGATATTTATTTATTTATTTAAAACATTTCTATGCCACCCCCATCGCAACAAAGCCTCGGGGCGGCTCACAACAAAAACAAACGAACGCATATAAAAATTTTACAATAAAAATATTAAAACCTGGTGCATCTCGGCTTAAAAATTTTGTTTTTTGTTAAAAAACCTACATAATAAATTAACAATTAAAATAAGTTTTAAATAAAGATAAAGATGTATGTGAATGCAAAACACAACATATTTGAAAACTATGAAGTAATAAGCCATAAATATTAACAATGAAAGAGCATGAGTCCATAGGACCAAAATGAAAACGGGATGCATATTACTTCTATGTATGCCATCTGTATAAAATAGCACTTTTACAATAAAGGGAATACATACATGTGATAATCTTTAACTTCTTTTTATTCAGTTATTGTGCCTAGTACAGTGAACTTTTAGTCAAATACAATAAAGTTCAGCTATAAACACCCACCCACCCTTTCTTGTCTAAGTTACATGTACGATAGCATACTTTTAGGGTACCCCTTATTTAATTAGAACCCTCTGAAGGATTTTTTGGGTATCAGGGGTTTGTGGACCACTGTTGTTTTCTTGAACCAGATTTCCTTGAAATTACCTTGGCCATTCCTCTCAGAACTCTGTCATGGTGGCTTAGTCTCTACAAGGTGCAGTTTTCCAAACCTGTGCAGCCAGGGCAGGTTGTTCAAAGTTCTACTATTTCGAGGTATACTGCCACCAATAAAAACAAGACTATCTTACAGTGTGACAAATTGTCCCTTACATTATCCATCAAAAATAGCAGCGCTAAGTGGGACTTTGACACAATGCTGCAATGAAGAATATCAGAAATGATGATTTTACCCAGTGATGAAAATGATGATTTCACTTAAGTTCCTGTTCCTCTTTTGAACTTTTCTTGTACAGATTGCACTGAAGAAAAGGTGAAGACTATGTAAAACATTTGCCCATAGAGGAAAAAAAATATCTAGGCCCTTTACAGGAATACCAAGAATGGAGTTGTAAGATTTCCCAGTGTGAGACTTGATTAGCTGCACAGGGCTTTCAAGTTACTCCACTTTATCAATAACATACCAGATATCCACTGGGTACAAACATAACATGCACATGCAGTCCTATTATTATTATTATTATTATTATTATTATTATTATTATTATAACATTTCTATGCCGCCCCTTGCTGAAGCCTCGGGGCGGCTTACAACACAATAAAATACATTGAAATACAATAGAACATAATAAATTACCATTAAATACAAAAATACAAAAAATACATTGAGTTACAAACATAATAATATAAAATTAAATTAAAATAATTGTTTTTGTTATGAGGAAGTAATTTCCTTCAGGTTACATCATCAAACGTGGTGCACACATCCAATCCCAGGCCACATTTTGGGTTTGGAAAAGATGGATGACACAAATTGCTCCATTTTCCTTTTCTCTTCTTCTGTGCCTGGATTACCTGCAGTTTCATTTTGAATAGTTGATGCCCAACCCAGCTACTAGATGGAACTGTTTTGAACTTTCCAATAACGTTGGGAATTGATAGGCATTATTAGAATATCATCAGAAAATAACTTTATTAGGTGTGATCTGCCCTGAATGGAGATACTATTAACCCTACCATTTCAACCATTTCATCATTAACCCTACCATTTCACCATTGGCTTCAAACACCAGTTTAACATCATAGGCAAAAGAGGATACCCCTGCCTTGTGCCTCTGGTTAGCAAAAACTGGGCAGACTCTGTGCCATTTAGTCTCACTACTGCATGGGTTTCTGAATAGATTTGTGAAATATAATCCATAAAGCTCTTCCCAAAGTACATTGCCCTGGGATCAGTTTTAAAAAGGCCTATGCCATGCTGTCAGAGGCTTAAAGGTGCCTAGGGAGAGTATAGCTGCTGGGCTTTTATGGGCATTGCAAAAGTGAATTATATTCCACACATGTTGTATTGAGTTAGGTGAATGCTGCTTGGTATAAAATCAGATTGCTTTGCATCCATGTAGCTGTAAATGAGTGTATTAAGTCTCTTTACAAGAATACTAGAGTTTTGAATCTTGATTTAACAGAGAAATATTATTTCAGGATTTTTACCAGGCTTGGGGATCACCATAATCCTTGCCTATATGCAGTACTTAGGAGTCAGAATCTCTTACCCCAGGAGGATGTTACAGAGAAGTTTTGGGTAGGATGACAGGAGCTCACTGAATGTTTTATAAAACTTTGCAAAGTATCCATCCATGCCTTATTATCCATGTTTCAGGTTTTGTAGGACAAGTTTTATTTCTTCCTCCAAGATAGTTTGGCTTGGGAGGTTTCTGTGTATTTCTGAAAGGGGTTTGTGTGAAGCTCTGGTTATGGAAGAGTATATGGTAGAAAGCTTTGGTTTGCCTGAAGAAACAAGTCACCTATAAAAGTCTGCAAAAGCTGTTGCAACATCTTCAGAATTTGCCTGTCTGATTCTCTTCCTGCCCTTTATGTCTGGTATGATTTTTCTTGTTTGTTGCTTTCTTAAATCTCATGCTAAGAGCCTAGTATATATAATTTGCAATTCATAGTACTGTCTATACAAATGCATCATAGCAGTGTGCCTCCAGTTCACACCTTTTCCCCAGCAGAACTCTGTAGACTTAGAGAGTCCCCAGTTCATTTGGGATTCGTCAAAGAATTTGCCAGTGTTTTACTTTGCAATGTTCTATAATAATCACTTGTTTTTGAGAATGCTGGATTCTGTACATAGGGGCTGCCTGTTACTGCTTTCATTGTATCACAGATTAGGGACATGGTCTGTTCTTGATTTAAATTGATAGATAAAAATAAGAAGATTTCAACTGTTATCTCAACTAGTGAATCATAATGTCTTACAGGAAAGGATGAGTAAGAGATCAATTCTGTTGTCCAGGCAAGTGTATGCCAATTTCCACACCTAGGGCATTAGTCTGTTCTGTGGTAGGTTTTAGGTTTTGCCATGTCACTTCCCTTTTCCTTGCTGAGGCCTGTAGTAGTTTAGTGGTCTGTAGTAGACTCTAACCTGCCTTGTATTTATTTCTCCAACATTTTTACATGTATCTATCCAGTTCAGGCTGTCAAATTTCTGAACTGGTGTACACACTCTCTTTGCCTTGATGTATCCATCCTTCAGTGGCCACATTGTAAGCATGTGAGTTGTTCCATTGAATCACAGTTATATCTATCAAGCTTAGCTGTATTTAGCTGAATTGCTCTTCCTCCATCGTTGTTCTTCCTTCCACATTTAGCTGGAAGTGCATAAAGCAAGCAGTATCCTGCTTTCCAGCTGGCAGAATGAATTGACAGAGCAACAGGGACTAGCAATTCCTGAAATAACTGGAAAAATAACAGCAATGCTAGTTTCCAGAATGCAACACATCAGCAGAGGTCACAAAAGAGAGCTCCACAGAATTTTGGAAATGTTTCTGCTCATCTCCAGATTTATTTCAGGAGCCACTGTTTCCTGCTGTGCTACTGATCTGTTCCACTCGAGCAACAGAACTAGGGGATCAGCAGCAACAGTACACAATATTGCCTACAGACTGGGAGCAGACTGGTGAAGAAATTTTTCTACTCTCCAGGCAAGGATTTAAATAACTAGTTTCTGTTTAACTATACCTAAGAAACTGGAACATCCCAGGACCACAGACTCCCTGCTTTGTGATCTTGACTGAATTCTTCCTCCCTCCCTTAACAGCAATTAAAGAAGACATTGGCATCAACCCTAACAATCATTCATAGTAAGCAGGATTCCCCTTAATTCAGAATCTCAAAGTTACTTTATGCAACTTGGGAAGGCAATTCCTATAGAATTGAGATAATATGAGAAAAGAATGTTAAAGTATAAAGAAAGCTAGAAATACTTCTGCATATAAACTATTAATGATGAACTACTGATAAGTCTGATGTTTGGATGTGTTGGAATACACTGATTAAAGTATGAATGACAAGCAAAGACCCACAATAAATTACTGGGTGTGATGGGATGACTAGAAGATGTCGTTGTTGTTGTCATTGTCTTTTTTCCTCTTGCAAGGAACACAAATTAGCTGAAAAGCTCATTCTCCAACAACTCCATGAGACTTTTCACCTTTTGCTCTCCTTTCACTCCTTTCACTCCTTCCTGAGATAGGTCTCTCTGAAAAACAGCTGCAGGGAAGCAACTGACACAAGGAAACAGCACCTCATTTCTACTTGGACTGTGACTTCAGAAGTCATGCCCCTGGAGATGGTTAACAGAAGAACTTGCTGTTCTCGCAAGCCTGCTTAACTTCAGGGGAAAGAAGTGCTTCATTTTGCAAAATTCTTGAATTACTATTGCCACAGT